CTCTGTCTGGAAACATGCTCCATTAAAATCAGCAGCTGATCAATATGCTTAAAGGAATAGTACACCCAAAACATGATTAATATGCTTAAAGGAATAGTACACACATGCACGCTCACGACGCTACGGAAGCCAGCAGACCAAACCAGCGCATTCAGCTCAGCAAAGAACTCATGCTCTTCCTCAACACTGAAGTCCTCAGACATTTTTCTTTCGTTGTTTCTTTCTTTGCACAGGTAAACAGCACATTTCTTCTTCTACGCTTGCATTATTGGCAGAGCAGACGCGAATGCGCACTTTCATCTGGTTTAGTCTGCCGGCTTCCGTAGCGTCGTAAGCCGCATGTGCGCGCTTTCAGGAAATCCTATACACTACTGTTTATGCTCTAAAAACATTCTAAATGACTTTGTTTCGAGTAAATTCTGGATGCTACCCACTCAGGACACTTGGAATACATTGGACGAGCAGTATGGAGGAATATTGACACGTTTTTTGTGGACTTTTATGGACCTTTCTGTCTCGGTCACCATAGACCTCCATTATTTGAATGTCAGCAGACAGCAAGAAGCCTCCCAGATCTCCAGATGCATTTGAGATATCAAAAAAGTACTCCAGGGTGTTGTTGAGCATGGGGGTGAGTAGAAAATGAAGGCTAATCATGTTTTGGGTGTACTATTCCTTTAAACTGGTTCAGTCTTAAGGGGCTGTAGTTATCATAAAGATATTGATCAGTACAGTCTGGGATGTCTCTTGGTGTGGACAATTATTCAATATTAGTAAATATTATGATTTAACTCAAAACGACAATATGACTTTTAAAATGCACGCCTGATATTTTACTAAACGAATATTTCACTTGCAGTCTATATAATATCAGCGTTAAAACTGCAAATACTTCCAAACGTGCTGTATCTCATGTTTTCAGCCTTCCTTAGATCTACTAAAAAGCTAACCCAGTTCAATAATAATATTGATATAGCTTTAATTTGAAATAAGTTGTTGCTTAACGGCTCCTTTCCAAGGTAAGGTCAGGTTGGTTTGCAGAATGATTTAATCAAATCAGTCAAATTTAACTGCAAATCTTCCATTTGGCTCAGTGTTGCTCATTGGATCACAGAGGCTCTGCAGCATACCCACCTCATTAGAACAGAAAATAAATGCTTTTCAGCTAACAGTAGGAGAACTTTCAGTAAAACCCCATAGAACCACTGGTCCAGGACTCCTTTGCTTTGGTGTCAGTCACTGCAAATCCTCAGATTTTACTCACTGAAGCTGCTGCATATAGCCTGATTCAAAGCTGTCCACTTCCTGTAAGGTTTCTCTCAGCTGCCCAGTAATGTGTTTTTTAAAACTAATGCGTGTGCTGGTGTGTGGCATTTAAGCCACCTGTGCCCTGCCGCCTCCTGCAGCGTCACAAGCTGAAATGGCATCAAGAAAAGCTGCGATGCTCGCTTTAACCAAACCTGCTCTGCTCTCATCTCCCTAAATCAATTAGATGAGTCCATTTCTAATTGACATGAACTAATATGGTTTTTATTTTGTGATATTCTGCAGTTGGGTTTTTTTTCTCCCCCCCTTCCCATGTCTTCCTCCTCTCCTCCCTCGCATCATCTGTTCTGTGAAAAGAGGCATCAGCTTATTACAGGTGCCTGCCGTCGCTCTGCCATCCTCCTGTCAATCCCTCGCTCTAATTGGTTGTAAAGGCTGCCGGTGCGTGCATGTGTGTGCTGTTGTTTAGACAGCCTTTGACTGGCACTTAACCCATGAGCTGATCTGATTTATTATCCATGTCCATCAGGGGCAACCCAGTCTCACCTCCTCACCAGTTACTGAGAGTGATCACATGCTGGAGCAACGTATTAATATCCTGATAAGATACAGGGATATAAAACGCCCCGTTTGATCCAGCCTTCCCTTGTAGCTGTGTTTGCTGTGTAGTGAATAACACGTCAGCCATGGCTAGTTTCAGTACAGCTGATTTCACGCCTTTCGATCCAGCTGTCTGAAGGGAAATGTATAAAAAAGGCTTTTATTTCAGCACTTGTTGTAATTACATCTTCCCATGAATAAGTTAACGGCCCTCTGGGTAAAGTGTTTGGTTATAAAAACAGAAAACAAGTCGATTCTTTGTGCGAACACAGCTGCAGTTCAGTTGATGCAAATGAAAGTGTATGATGGAAAGTGGGGCCATGAATTTAGTTCGATTTTTTTTTTTATTTAAACAAAAAAATGTTTGGAAACTAACTATAAAAAAATAAAAAATAAATAAAAGATTTGAAGGTTGTTCACACACCCAAAAAAAAAACAAAAAACAAAACAATACAAACATGGATGCTTTAAAGACATTTCTAGTTCCCAGGGTTCCTGAATGCAACAGAATATTTTCTCCCCTAAGCTGTCAGTCATTATCCAACACCCTATGCTATCGAAGCCCCGCCTCCATGTTGGGGTGCAGTTTGAAACTGAATGTGTAAAAAAAAAAAAAAAAACTAACGAGAAAAAATAAATAAAACTGAAATTGAAAGGCTGTTTTTCTAATCTTGTTTCAAGACTGTTACGAAAATATATATATTTTTTCCATTTCAAATCCTTTCTTTTCAGTTTCAAATCATCTTTTCTAGTTTTAAATCTTTTGTTTCAAATATATATTTTCTATTAAGCTTTAAGATTCAAAAAGATTCTTTTGATCAAACCAAATTTAGCTGCAGTTTCTCTCTATGGAAACGTAGCTGTTTCTATCCTTTCTAAAGGGGATATTCTGCTTCTCTTTGAGTGAATCTCTATTAAAATGAATGTAGTACTTGTGACCTGCAATATGTTGAAAGATGTTGTTTTTTTATTTTTCAACCTGGTGAAGCTGCTGAATTTTTCAGCAATGTTTCTCTTTAAATAAAAGGAAAGCTTGTTACGAACAGAAAGAGCTTTGATGCCCTTAGATCAGGGGTGCCCAAGTCCAGTCCTCAAGAGCTACCATCCTGTGACTTTTAGATGCATCTCTTCTCTAGCACACCTGAATCTAACCTCATTTAGCCCAACAGAGGCATGGTAATGAGCCACCCATTTGATTCAGGTGTGTTAAAAATGGTTGCATCAAAAAGTTGCAGGATAGTAGCTCTTGAGGAATGGACTTGAGCACCCCTGCCTTAGATTATTTCTCCTGTTTTCTAAGAGGCTGTTAATCTGTGGAGAGATGGATTTGGCAAGATGGTGAGCCTGCTGAAGTAGACCCATTTCAACTCGCTGGTTAAAGTTCACCAGTGATGAAGGAGCTCATTAGTCCAGTCTCTAACGAGGCTTCCAGGGCCCCACAGCATCACAGATCCTCCTCCATACTTTAGCTGCGTTAGCTCCTGTTAGGCTGTTCAGCTGAGAAAAACAAACATCTCAGGGTTTTCCCTGGTTCCTGTTTAAAAAAAGACGAAAGACGAAGACAAAGAATATTCGTTCTCACTAGGACCTTTCCAAGCTCCTACCCTTGCTCTTGCTTGGTCTCCAGATGTTCCTCAGCCCACTGCATACAATGAGGGCAGTGTGAGATCTGGGAGGCTTCTTGCTGTCTGCTGACATTCAAATAATGGAGGTCTATGGTGCCCGAGACAGAAGGGTCCATAAAAGTCCACAAAAACGTGTCAATATTCCTCCATACTGCTCGTCCAATGTATTCCAAGTGTCCTGAGTGGGTAGCGTCCAGAATTTACTCGAAACGAAGTCATTTAGAATGTTTTTAGAGCATAAACAGTAGTGTATAGGATTTCCTGAAAGCGCGCGCCGGCGCGTTCATGACGCTACGGAAGCCGGCAGACTAAACCAGATGAAAGTGCGCATTCGCGTCTGCTCTGCCGATAATGCAAGCGTAGCAGAAGAAATGTGCTGTTCACCTGTGCAAAGAAAGAAACAACGAAAGAAAAATGTCTGAGGACTTCAGTGTTGAGGAAGAGCATGAGTTCTTTGCCGAGCTGAATGCGCTGGTTTGGTCTGCCGGTTTCCGTAGGCTCGTGAGCGCGCATGTGCACGCTTTCAGGAAATCCTATACACTACTGTTTATGCTCTAAAAACATTCTAAATGACTTCGTTTCGAGTAAATTCTGGATGCTACCCACTCAGGAAACTTGGAATACATTGGACGAGCAGTATGGAGGAATATTGACACGTTTTTGTGGACTTTTATGGACCTTTCTGTCTCGGTCACCATAGACCTCCATTATTTGAATGTCAGCAGACAGCAAGAAGCCTCCCAGATCTCCAGATGCATTTGAGATATCAAAAAAGTACTCCAGAGTGTTGTTCAGCATGGAGGTGAGTAGAAAATGAAGGCTAATCATGTTTTGGGTGTACTATTCCTTTAAACACTTTCTACCATGTGGATGTTTGCAGATTCCTGCTGCCCTTCAAACAGCAGCCAGCTACCGGGTTAGAGGTAGACCCGCTGATATTTTGTTATCTTGATTTAAGCCACATGGGTAGATCTAGATTCTAGAATCCATCTCATAAGATTGGAGTAAGATTTGCAAAAGTTGGTCAGGTTTAATGTTTTATTCTGTAGTTGAAGATTAAATTACAGCCTGATGGGTTCATGTTTTTCATCCTGCCCTAAGAAGCTGATCTAAAGCAGAATGATTTTCTCTTTCAGCTGTGTCTCGCGTGTTAACCTAAAGGTTGGCATAGCAACCAGTGGGACTCATCATCTCACAGTGGGAAAGCTTTACATACATGCTTTAGGCCCCACATGGCTGAGCCTGCACACTCTAAATGAAGCACTAATGATCATGGAGCTGGTTGTTGATCGATAGGATTGTTCAGAACCCTGCCAGCTGATGGAGTGGGAATGGAGGGTCCAACATGTTTCTAAGATGCTCTGAAGTTAGATCATTAAATGCTGCTGTTTTTCATTTTTGTGTTTTGGACAGAGTGAAGGAAAGACGGACAGGAGAGAGCTGGGTTGGTGGGTGGGTTGTTAATCGGAGAGAGAGCGCAGTGCTTGGAGAGTCGCACAGATAAAAGCAGGGAGATGAAGCTGAGAGGCAGGGAGGGAGGAGGCAGAGGAGAGACAAAGGTATGAAGGGATGTAGCCCAGATGGTGAACGGAGGGATGGAAGGAACAGAAAGCGGCAGCAGGAGGAGGAATCCATCTTCCAACAGGCATTCCTGAGTTTAGCCATTCTGGTCCGGGCAATGCCATCGCTGTGATTTTTGTTTTTATTATTATTTTTTCTTAATCACTACAGAGAACAGGAGCAACCTGTGAAAAAGCAGGAGCCTGTTGCCTGGATACCTCTGCTGTCGCCACAACGGCCAAAAGCCAGGACTGAAGCGAGCGTGAGCCTTTGGGTCAAAGCGCATCTGGATGGCCCTCTGGCTCCTCTGCTCCCTGGATGATCGCATCGCATGATGAGGAAGGGGTCGCCCCATCACGGAGGCTTCGAGGAGCGCCAGAGAGAGAGGCTGGGTGTGTGTGAGTGGGGGGTTGGATGGCTCCCCGTTTGGAGCATCATTTGTAGAAGCGGAGAACAAAGAATTTAAAAACTAAGTTTAACGACCAAAAAAGACTGGAGGCAGCGGTGGCAGAGGACCCCAAAGCGGGGAGGGTCCAGTTCAGAGGAGCGGGCTGCTGGCCGGGTCACTTCAGCAGCTAGAGAGACGGAGCCATGCAGATCCAGCCGTCAGCTCCTCACTCCAAAGCCTCCAGCTTCATCCTCAGTCAGAGATGTATCCTGGCTTCCAAAATGGAAATCCACCGGTACGTACCTGCCTTCATTCATCAGATCCTCGCCACTGCCAAGTCCTGCCCCCATCCTGTTTGCTCTCATTACCCCTCCTGCTAGATTGGGATGATTTATGGGATTTCCTGAGATGGGATTCATAGAAGAAGACTTAAATGATGCAGTGGCCATTCTGCAGTCAACTCTATTTAACCTGATGCAGTAATCACTGTACCACTTGTTGCCACCTTTAAATATCCTCTTTAAACTTTCTCTTTATTAAGAGAAAGTTTCTGGTTTTGATCATTTTCCTTTTCTGCCTAAAGCTCAAACATTATTGGTTTAACACAAATGATCCAGCTTTTTTTTTTTTACCAGTTAATATCAGTTACACTGTAACAAGTACAGAGTAAAGAAATTAACTCTGCATTTTAACCCATCCCCTTGGGGAACAGTGGGCTGCCATTGTGCGGCGCCCGGGGAGCATTGTGGAGTTAAGGGTATTGCTCAGAGACCCAGAGTGGAGGTCTGTGGGAGTGGGGTTTGAACTCGGAACCTCAGAGTTCCAAGCGTAACACCTTTACCACTGGGCCGCCATTAGTTATTCTGGGTGCCTTCATTATATTGAGCTTGATGGATGGACTTTGATTGTCCCACAGTGGGGACATTTGTCCTCCTGGTAATGGTCTTAATTTCATTCCACAACAATCCCACACCCTTGCTAAACGACCAATCACATTCACTTTATCCACTCGTGTAAAGTCGTGTACCACTCGGGAGAATTCGGAAATGCAACGGTTGGAACAGCTGCTTACCTATGAATTTCGGAAGTTACATTTTTATGCCCCAAGACATCATTAGATTTCCTGTTTAAACTAAAATCTGTTTTATTCTTTCTGTTGTTTTCCTTAGTGCCTGCTTCACACCACCAGCCTATGATTTAAAAGAAAAACAGGACAAAACACTGAACATTTGCAACAATACAGGACGGTGACTATTTGCCACTCACAATTGAGACCCTAACCCCCTGATCGTTGACCCAAACTAGGACCATTTACCTCCATGAATAAAAAGAATACCGTGTGGGAAAATAGCAAATATTAAGAAGATAATATTAGCCTATATGGTCATACAATGTTCAATAATGGTTCCAAATAAACCTTTTTCAGTCATTTTAGGAGGGAGAAGTTGCCCACATCTTGATACAGAAATGTTAGAAAATATTGTGTTCATCTGGGATCAGTGTCATTCAGAGGGATGTTCTTCCCTACAGGAGAGAAAGGAAATCTACTTAAAGTTTACCAACAGGATGGGTTTCACTTGGATGTGACAAAGCTATTCAAACGGTCAAAAATTTTCATTGTGGTGAAACATTTTAACCTTGGTTTTATTTTCCTATTGGCTGTTTTTATTTTAAGTAGTTTTTAGCTGCTCTTAGTTTAATTTAAGAACTTTTGTTATGCTTGTTAAATTAAGCTGGTGAAGATTGTCAGTCATCCAGGTCATAGTCACAAAGAAGTAAAAAAAAGCAGGACATCCTTTAGAGAACCAGAATGTTCACATTTTTGACAAAGAAGATAGGTGGTTTGAGAGGGTGTGAAGGAAGCCATCTATGTTAAGAAAAAAAAACCTTAAACAGAGGGGGTGGACTCAGATTTCAGCTTTCAACAACCTACAATTCAGAGTCGATCCCTTCCCACTATCATTTCAACCCCCAACCCAATAAAGGGGAACATAAGAGTTTGCCTATTCAGCCAGGCCAAAAATTCCCTTTAATGACCCCCCTTTCAGAGACATAGACAGGTATGGAGCATTGCAGGCTAAGAAAGAAACCAAACAACCCCAATTCCAAAGGGGTGGACCCCTTCATTAGGTTCAATCTGCATGTTTTAGAAACAAAAACAAGTCCACTCTATAAAGCCTCCAACTCAACGCTATTTCTGACATTTTGAATTGAAAAAGCTTCCTGGATGGGAAGAGAAACATCTTCAAACCTGTTAGATCAACTTTGTTTTTTTGTTTTTTTTAAATCTGCACCAATTTTTATACAGTTTTTATCAGTGAGCTGCATATGCAATTTTCGTTAGCAGTGCAGGTGTTTGATAATCAACAGGGCAGAGTTTGTTAGTATAAATCAGGCCCTGTAAGATGATGAATGGATGACTAGTTGGTGTTTCCTCCTATAATGTTGTCTTTTTCTATTTATCTATGCAGTCCAGCTGTGGTTCCCACATCAATGTGAGTCCTGTCCTAGTGTGACCGAGCTTCTAATCCCAGCCTTGTAAAAACGGGCCAGGCCACCGGTCACCTCACTTTATGGTCAACACCCTGTTAACACTGTGTTGTATTTTTTTCACTGTTTATGTTTCCTGATCTGGAGCTTTTTGGGATAATCGCTGACATTGTCGGGAACAGTAATCCATATACTATGGGGGGGGGGGTCGGATCCTAATGAGAAACGACATAATAATGAGGCCCATTTGTTGGAAAGAAGGTGTAAAAGATCCAGAGTTTGGGTTTAGGACGGGGAGTTTGGGCCGAAACGAGTGGACTCTGTAGATTCATGGTGGTGTGGATGATTGTGTAATGCCTTTTTTTTCAATGGGTGCTTAAAGTCAGTATTACAAAGCTACAGCTGAAAACATATGTGAAAGAGGCAATTCTCTGTTGGTTATCAGGACGATGAGAGGTTTAGTCTTTAGGAATATCTGGGAGCGCCCAGTTCCTCCTGGTTCAGTTCCTCCTGAATCGGCTGTGAAGTCAGCTACGTTTGTCCACCATTCCTCATCATACTTAAAACAATGCTATGATAAGACCGGCTGGTCTAATTCAGGTAATGTTCATCCTGTTGCCACGGTAACGTTAAGTATCGGGTCATGAGTTAGCCGGCAGCGGATCCACCTGTGAACCCCTCCCCTGGAGATCTGCCTCTTCAGACAGCTAATGGATTGTGGGAGTGAGCCGCTCAATGGTTAATTGATTCCAGGAGCGTTCTGAGCACCGGACCAAGCTCCTCATTAAACAAGGCCGTGCTTGAGTTGTCCAGCCGATGGTGCAGGTAATCAGAGGGCAGCTGTGTTTTTAAAGCTTAATGGCTGACATGAGGTGACGCAAACAAAGGAAACTTAGTGATTTATCAGAGGAGAGAAATGCCAGATTTTTAAAGGTCAACAACAAATCCATTCCTTACTCTACTTGGCAACAGCTAAATCTTCTATGTTAGAGTCTTAGGTCAAAGTAAAATAATCATTCAATGATTTCAGTTTACATTTAAATCTGCAATCTGTCAACTTTCCCTGGTTTCACTACCTGGTTGCTTTTTGCTGAATTAAACCAGGTGGAACTAAAACTTTTCCACTTGAGGAATTCTGGATAGAGCATATTGACAGACAAAACAATTTTTGATCTTTTTAGATTTTTTATATTTTTTTTATATAATTACTGCTCTCAGTGGGTCGCTCTGTCAGCCAAAGGCAGGTTTTACAGTCTCTATACTCCAGTTAATGATTAATCAATTTTCTCCTTTTATTCAAAGAACAGCTGTCTGGTTTCTAAACAAAGTGTTTTGGTTTTTTGCATCAGTTTGCAGACCTTTTCCTTATGTTGCTCCTATTGGATGTAATGTTGTTTGTCAGAGCATGTGTCCGGTTGCTATTCTGCATCCCTTCATTCCCATAGTTTAATAAACTTTATGAAATGTGCACATTAATTAATCAAATTTAGCAAAAGTAATTTCTGTTTCACTGAGGAACATTTCTGTTCGCCATGCTCTTGGACTGGGATGTCCAAACTGGGATTAACTGGTAAAAACAGGTACAATTCAATATCGATCTGTTTGCAGACGATATGATGATCTGCAATATGAGTCGGTCACGGCACAATTTCACTTCACTTCAGTTCACAGGTCTGCTATGTAATGCAATGTCATAGCTGCCTGTTTAACACAACTATTGATATAAACTCTCAAACTATTTATGCTTTCAACTTCAGGCTTTTAGATTAAAACCTGTATCTTTGAAATATATGAAAAATAAGACTAATAATTATTTGTTGTTTTTTTGTCCTTCCATCTATTTCATCTCTTTTCTGGGCTAACTAACATGAGCTAAACATTAGATGTAGGCATTCAGTAAAACATTTGAGGAAAAAAAATGACCAAAGTAAGAAATATTTTACATTATCTTTAAACCCAAATGATTATTCAGGTCATATTTTGCCCTAGTTCAGTAAATCCGTTTTAGATTATGAATCTTATATTGTGGAAAGTGTGAGCTGTCTGCTGACAGCAGAGATGATGATGATAATAATAATTGATCTTTGAATAATTGATCTCACATTGGAGAAATTTACCTCTGAATTTAACCCATCCCTTTGGGGAGCAGTGGGCTGCCATTGTGTGACACCCGAGGAGCAGTGTGGGGTTAAGGGTCTTTGCTCAGAGACCCAGAGTGGCAGTCTGTGGGAGTGGGGTTCAAACTCAGAACCTCTGGTTTCCAAGCTCTGTTCCCTAACCACTAGGCCGCCACTCCCCATAATTATTTATGCGAAGGCACCTGGTGAACAGCAGAGCGAATTTTACAGCGACTGTATGATTTGTTTTTTTTTAAGTTGGTTTGCTTTGTGATTCAGCTGCTTGTGATCTTAAATGGTTTTTAGATTTAAGAATTTTTAGATTTATTTATGTTGCCTTTAAGCACAATTTAACAATTCTGTGGTTAAGTCATATATTTTTAACCAAAGAAACTTACAGTTATGAGTCAGGAAAAAAAAAAATCCTCCCCTGTGCCGAGACTTAAGGTCTCATTTCCTCAAAATGAAGGGAAGAACATGCACTTACTTCTGAGATTTCTTCAAATTTAACACTTTTAACCAAATTCAGACCAGCTGTTTGCTAAAAAAACAACTGAAATTGGCCAAACACACAGTCTTTTTGCATTATATTTTAATAAAAAAAAAAACTGTTAATTGGTTCTTAATGATTTTTTACAGAGAACAAACAAGATGCTGACCCCTGACCTTAAATAAGGCATTTACTGAC